GTTTTTGAAAATATAATATTACCAGCTATACATTATTTACATTATTCGGACTATTGTTCTCACCTGTGTCGCCATATTTATCACAACGTTTCGGCCGTTGTACGCTCCGGCCTTCTTCAGGTGGTTGGAATTTCGAACCGAACCCTTTATTTCGCTCACTAGGGTAGACTGTTCTAGTTCCACGTGCCAGTTATCTCCTGATAATTTCCTTCTGAAAGTTCTCCACTGCCTTAACCGGGTATTGAACTCACACTCTTTGGGTCCTGTCACTGGATCTAACCAAAGGATATATGGCACATTGGATAAAGGATATATGGATAAAGGATATATGGCACATTGGATAAAGGCTTTAGTTAGATCCAGTGATAGGACCCAAAGAGTGTGAGTTCAATACCCGGTTAATGCAATGGAGAACTTGGAGAGGAGAATTAAGTAGGAGATAACTGGCATCCATCAAACATGACACGTGGAACTAGAACAGTCTACCCCAGGGAGCGAAATAAAGGGTTCAGTTCGAAATTCCAACCACCTGAAGCAGGCCGGAGCGTACAACGGCCGAAAGGTTGTGATAAATATGGCGACGAAGATGAGGACAATAGTCCGAATAATGTACATAATACCGCATCTCAGAAATATAGACAGACTCTACCAACTATTCGTTTTTGAAAAAATAATATTACCAGCTATACATTTTTGAGAAAAAAATATTAACAAAAATGGATTTTTGACAAGACAAATTATTACCAGGGGGTAAAAAAGTAAGTGGTTGGCATTAAATGACCCATTGAGGTTGATATGCTGTAAAACAAAACAAACAAACAAACAAACCTTACGCCCAAATACCTATAGGAAAGGTATAAGTCTGTCTCTTATCCTTCCAGATATGAGTTAAATTGTATGACAGTGACCTATGGCCTTGTTTGGCAACCAGCCTACCGTAGAACCTAATGTCAGCCTACTGCGAGAAATCATTTGCTTAGTCATTCATAAATCGGAAAACGACATAATCTCCAAAATGTGTCTTACACATAACACTTAAGAAAGGATAAAGTAGCCATGTTCAAATTTAATTCAGCAGTCGATCTGTCTTTATCTCTGAGATGAGGTATTATGATTACTTACATTAATTATCTTCATTGCCATATTCAAAACGTTTCGGCCGTTGTACACACCAGCCTTTTTTAAGTGATTCAGAACAATCTATCCCGGTAGACTAAATAAAGTGTTCGGTTCGAAATTCCAATCAACTGAAGAAGGCCAGAGCGTACAACGACAGAAATGTTATGAATAAGGCAATACCAAACATTTCATAATAACGGAGAAGCTCGTGCTGTGGCTCTAGATATCTCCAAAGCGTTTGATAGGGTTTGTCATGCCAGCCTTGTTCGCAAGTTTCAGGGTTATGGAATTACAGGTCGATTGTTCGACTTGATACAATCATTCCTGTGAAATCGTGTATTCAAGGTCGTCCTCAACGGATTCTCCTCCAGCTCCTATCCCACGAAAGCAGGTGTTCCTCAAGGCTCTATCCTCGGCCCTACTCTGTTCCATGTCTTCATTAACAATCTTCCTGATAGGCTCCCAAATAGGCATCTATGCGGACAACACTACTATTTACTCCTGCCTCAAAAACAGATCTAGTGTCGCTGACAACTCTAACCTGGGCGCTTGTCTCGAAAAGGACCTCCAATTGGTTGTAGACTGGGGCAGGAATTGGCTGGTTAACTTTAACGCCTCAAAAACAAAACTGCTCTCTATTACTCGCCACAGAGAACCATCCCTGCCTCCCATTAGAATGTCTGACGCTCAACTTCACGAGAGCACCTCTTTGCGATTGCTCGGTCTCACATTGTCTGCTGACCTGTGATGGAACAAATACACTGAGTCAATAGCTTCGTCCACCGCAAGGAAATTTGGCTCCCTGTGCCCCACCAGGAAATTTTTCTCGCTTGAGTCGATTCTTCAAATCAACCATTCGCCGCCCTTGCATGGAGTATTGTTGCCATATATGTTCTGGAGCCCATTCTAATTGTCTCAAGGTCCTTGATAAAATCCAGAGACGGATATGCAATGTAATTGGCCCTGATCTGTCATCTCGTCTGCAGTCGCTCTCTCACAGACGTGCAGTCGCCTCCCTCTGTCTTTTTTTACAAATACTTTTACGGTAACTGCTCCGATGAGCTGCTTCATGAATTTAAGCGTTCAACTAGGCTTGCACCGTACTCTCACCCTTTCACTGTCGAAACTGTTAAATGAAGCCGTCTCTTCTACTCCAATAGCTTCATGTCTCGCACTTCTCGCCTGTGGAACTCCCTCTCCTTTTCCTGTTTTCCTGATAGCTATAATCTCCAATTATTCAAATGTAATGTCAATCGACGTCACCAGATGCCTTGATCTATCCCCTATCCTTCTCTTCATCCTTTCCTGTATCACTCCTCTTTGCTCTCGCTTCCTCTCTCTAACCCCTTGCGTGCTAGTGGCTTTCCGCCTTACTTGGGGTGAAATGCTCTAAAAAAAATGAAGATTGGAATAACAGTCCGAATAACGTAAATAATGCAAGTATTCAGCAGTCTTTCTTGGAATTTTGCATCAACTCAAGCAGCTTTTTCCAAGGAACCTCTACTTTGTGGAACCGACTCCCAAGATTATGCTTTCCTGACCATTACAATCTTACTTACTTCAAGTTTTCGGTTAACCGTTATGTTTCCGAAATATCCACATAAACCGTGCTTCTAACTCCCCCTCTTATCTTTCATACAACAATCTCTTTCAGTAACATTCTATCTTGATGTTGAGTCGTAAATAAACTCTGCCCGTAGGCATAGCCTCGTCTGGGTTCCTCTCTGCCCGAAGTCATAGACGTCGACTAAGCAGTGCTTTAACGAAATCTAATCGTTAAATCCTCGGTATTTACTCGTGAGCTCCCCACAAGGGGGAATGTGGCACAAGGCCGATTTGTTATTTATACGTGGAGCGTTTCTAGCTCGTAGGCTCAGACAAAAATTGCACGTAGACCCCGTATACGTGGGATAGGGTAGTTGTCTACCTCCCCAGACGAAACTTTATCCTTCGGGACGGCCTCGTTTGGTTTCCTCTGAACTCGGAGGCGGAGAGTCGACGTTATCGTTAACTCCTCTCCCTCACTAAGAGAGAGTTCTGTATAAACAGTCTTAGGCCAGTCCCTCTTGTGGGGATGTTCAACTACTCCTCAACGCTTAAGTGGCTTTTGGGCCTTGTATAGAGTGAACATTAGAGCAACCGATCACCTTCTTAATATTTGTTGTGATAAATTTTAAATATTGTCCGAATATTTTTTTCACTGTAAAGGTTATGACAATATTTCTGAGATGAGGTATTGTAACTATTTACACTATTTACATTGTTCGGAATGTTGTCTTCATCTTTGCTGTCATATTCACGACGTTTCGGACGTTTTACGCTCCGGCCTTCTTCAGGTTCTGTCAATATATCTGAGATGAGGTATTGTAACTATTTACACTATTTACATTCTTCGGAATGTTGTAGTCATGTTTGTTGTAATATTCACCACGTTTCGGACGTTTTACGCTCCGGCCTTCTTCGGGTTCTGTCAATATTTCTGAGATGAGGTATTGTAACTATTTACACTAATTACATTGTTCATACTGTTGTCCTCATGTTTATTGCCATATTCATGATGTTTTGGCCGTTGCATGTTCTAGTCTTCTACAGGATCAGTCTATATTTCTGAGATGAGGTATTATAATTATTTACACTACTTACATTGCTCGGACTGTTGTCCTCATCTTTATTGTCATGTTCATGACGTTTCAACCAACTTTTTTTATCCTCCAAATCATGTGTCCTTGAGGATAAACCTGTTGTTTGAAATAATGCAGTGATTTGTTTCAAAGAGATCTGTGTTTACATTGTTAGGAATGTTGTCTTCATCTTTGTTGTCCTATTCACAACGTTTCGGCCGTTGTACGTTGCGGCCTTCTTCATGTAATTGAATTTCAAATTTAACCCTTTATTTCATCCCCCGGGTTAGATTGTTCTAGTTCCCCGTGCCATACCTCTTTCGGATATCTCAGTTTTAGTTTCAGTTATTTCCCTCTAGTAACTCAACTCTCGAAGTCTTTTGTTTAGCTCTGCTGTAGCCAGGTATTGAACTCACAACTCTTTGGGTCCAGTCACTAGATTATGTTAACCAACGCTTTTATACACTGAGCCATGCGTCTACCCTGGTGGACGAAATAAAGGGTTCAGTTCGACATTCCAATCACCTGAGGAAGGCCGGAACGTATACACCATTGAGCAAATTAATTGAAACAAAACGAATAATTTGTTATTTACTTTTTTTTTCGTATTTTTCCCAATGAAACATGCCCTAGTGCACATGATAGTAGTTCTTATGTCCATACCACGAAGTCGTTCATTGCAGATTGACCACAGATTCTCGATTGGATTTAAATCAGGAGAGTTTCCGGGCCAGTCTATAATACTTTGATTTGCTCACTGGTAAGGCTTGTCAGTGTGTTCGTGCAGCGTTACAATTTTCGTACGCTTCCTTAGATTAACGTCTATAGCAGACAGTGGCCATAGGACAACTAATCAACAGTCGAGACAATAGTGTTTG